ATTTCGTCTGTAACTACTCTACGGTGATGTTTATGGCGACCTCTGCCATCAATAAAATTATTAAAATCAGTTGATTCATGTTTTTTTTGTAGGGCATAAACAAAATCGTTACTTATGGAAAAAGTATTCAGGAACATCGTTTTACATACTTTTTTTAATGCTACTTTGTTATCATACTGTGATTTCATTGGAAGATGGTAATGCAAAGTGTGTAATCGGCGAACGTTAACATTTTCCAGATTCGTACAAGATTTTTTACTTTTCTTAAAAACATATTTAGATATAATTTGCCATTGTGTCACATGATTCCCGGTACCCCAGAAGTTATAAAATAATTCTGAGCGTATTTCTTCAGTGAAAGTCATATAACAATTCAAACGACAACTGTTAGTACAACTTCCTTTCATCTGTCTTGCTTTTTATACAGACCCTCTTCTAGAAATATATTCCTGTCCCAAATTACATAAACGTTTTCTTTTTGTAGTTACCCAGTCTTCTACATATATGTTGCGCTTACGCCCCGCGTCAGATCTTTTCTTTGATTTTCTTTTACTTTTTGGGGTACTGGTCTCACTTCCTAAATAAAAGGATTCATTGGATATCAAAGACGTAGCAACAGATAGAGGATTCACATCTAACTCTGAATTTTGTTCATTTGAAATAGTACGCAGAGGTGTGTCAGTTGATAAAACTTCTTCGGAACCATTTCCCTGTATTAGCGTAAAATCTTTAACAGTTGTCGACTGCGCTAAAGTGTTATCAACTTTGTCAGAACAATCACTAAAGTTACAATAAGGTGAAGGCATTGGAGTACCTTCATTATCATGTTCACAATTTTCTGCGCCACATGAAATGAGGGATTTTGTTAAGTCTTCATTGTTGTCTGGTTCATAGTTTTCTACGCTACAAGGAAAGAGGGGTTCAACGGACTGTGGAGTCAGTGTTATCGGAGATGGTTTTTGAATAATAGAAACTAAATTAGGAGAATAAGGGTTCATCGGTGAATCGACTCCCGTAGCGGTGTGTATGTTCACGTCCTTTATGATCTGACTACGGGTCGAGTGAGCTGGTGAGATAAGTGGTCTTGAAAATAAATACTCGTTTTGGTCAATAGGTTTTTGAAATACATCCTCAAACAAAGCCATGAATTCTGGTGTTATTTCGCCATTATCACGCAATGGAGACGACTCTGTAAAAAATAAATAAAAAAATATATTTTTGGCCTTTGAAACTATTCTAAATGTAAAAAAGCCGCTCAAGTTCCGTACAAAACTTCGGTCGCTCAAGATTTTTTTTATAAATCTATAGTAATTGTTATCTTTACATTGTGTAAATCAAAATTCGGTTAGTATTTCAACATAAATTTCCATGAATTTCATCTTCGTATACTCCGCTAAGCGCGCTAATATACAACCGCAACCGGAATACAAACCGCCAACTTGAAATAAAGGAGTGACGTTCGAATTTTATAAAAAGTACTTCAATCATTATTATACTATGTAAATGAAATGATTCCAGATGATTTTAAGCTTAATAGGTTCATTAAACTCTACTTACCTCTTTCATGAATACAATCTTCCATATCGTCGTAATTTAATATTATATTGTCATCATTAATTATCTGCTGAGCGGTGTCTTCTTTACACAATCCGACCAAACGTCTTGCCCGATTCCGAGACATTATTTTAAATAAGCGAAACACAAACTTATAAGTAAATACTAAGCATTGAAGTATTTAGTATGTATTTTCACTACGCTATTAGGTAATTAACGCATAAAAAGTGCACAAACGGACGATACACCGCTAACTGTCAATAGAGTAAACATAAACTAACGAACGGCGGGAATTCCCCGCGCGTCACCCCGCCAATCCTAGTTGGCGGAATATATCTCGCGGGCCGACGCCGTGCGTGCAGCATACACTCCGCTATATTAAGATAGTGGTTTGTCTACCACACGATTGCTGGAAGTACATATACTTAGCGTTATGTAAATCTCAAAACTTTTTTGTTTCTCATGATATTTTTACAAAATTTGGTGGACTTAATCCTTATAAAATATTTAATCAAATGACGTGAAAAACGAAATTTTCAATTTTTTGAGTTAGAGTAGTGTTCATTGGAGGCATCGAATTATAATACAAATTACAAGTCATATTATGAATCCCAAAATTATTAGGTGTTCATATTTTAAAGGTAAGACTTGTATTCACAATCGTGTGTCGAATCCGATACGTTCTTGACATACAAAAGTCATACTTAGGGCATCTGTGGGTTATTAAGGGAATACTGTTCAATCTTCAAAGTAACTGACGTAGTAGAATGATAGGTAATTTGAGACTTTTTCGTATTTACTATTTGTATATATCTAATCGGTATTACCCGATTGAAATCTCTAAACCCTCTAATGATCCCTTATATTAAATATATTCTGCTACTTAAATTTAAAAATTAAATATATTTTGTATAGTTTCAAACACCAATTTTGGCGTGGGGGCCGTGATTCAGCCTGGGACATGGAAAAATATTTCACTCTCTCGCCATATTCAATTTAATTTTGTCCCAATTATATTTCACGAAGGTAATCATGAATAATATGTAACCCTTAGTCAGGCCGCACACCAGGCATACATTTGTTATTTACGTCGCCACAATCGTTGCGAAGTCGTTGCGCTACAATTGTATGCGCTACAAATGTATTGAAAATGCGCACATCGGAAGCACAGTTGTAGCGTGGCACCGTTTGAGAAGGTCGACATCATCGTTTATGACATAGATTTCTTGATGTGGCGATTAATGAGAAAAAAAGACGTATGGTCATCCGTTTAATCAAGATTGCACAAGTACGGAATTTTTCGCCAATCTTAGTCCAAATTATTTCTGTAATCCGTCTGTTACTATAATCATTGAGCGTGTGATTGTAAAAACAGGGTTTTTTTCAACCTCTGCAATAAACTCAACGTAAAATTCAATGTTTTCTTTAATTTTTGCAAACCAACGCGACACAGAAAACGAACGTGTTAGATCTTGAATTTGTGTGGCGCGGAAACTGTCTCGCTACAAAGTGCGCCCGCCACAAATGTTTCCTCGGTGTGCGTGCTCACGTACAAATGTATGGGGGCGTTAAATGTGTCGCGTTTCAAATGTGGCGCTACAATTATCGAGTTACAAATGTATGCCTGGTGTGCGGCCTGACTATGAGAGTTAGTCTTCGCACATTTTAGCCCATAAAGTATTCTCCGTATATGGCCAGTCTTTATAGAGGTTAGCCGCTGTAGCCAGAGATTCGAGATTAATATTATCCATTTTATACCTTTATAAGGGATTTTCAGAATGCACAGGTCGTGCAACTTTAACATCGCGTAGAAGTCGACCGTCATCGTTCTCGAAAATTTTCACATTTCTGTTGTTTGCATAAAAACTTCGTGTATTTACTTTGCTCATAGCTTAACCACAGTTTTTCTTGAAATTGTACCTAAGCTATAAATTGAAATCTTCCAAATGGGTATTTCCATGTAAACATATTAGTGGATGCGTAACAAAAAGAATTATTTCTCACATTTTACGGTCGTTATTACCTAAATGATTCAGTTGTAATTTATTAATTGATTATTAACTAATTGTTTATAACGTTAAGAAACATATGTATAATTGACCTCTTTATTTAATTATAGAGTGAATTAAAGTAATTACTGATTTTGATGCGTCATTTTTGTTTTTAGGGTTGGTCATTTGTTTTTTCTTATTTAGATACATTTATGGCATGGTAGTTTCCTTATAAGACATTCTTCTTTAATATTAAACTAGCAAATCGGCCAAGCGTTGCTGTGGCTAAGGTTTATGTTATATTACATAGTAAACTATTCAAGGGAAACGGTAGGTGAACACCATTCATGGAGACCACCATAGTTTTTTGGTGGTTATGCCATTAAAAGCTTATGTGAAACGTTGGTACTTTCAACACAGCTCCATCTGTTAGAATTGTGACTATCAAGTAATAAACAAATATTTTGCAATAAAATAATATTGCGGGCATAAATTGAGATGTGAGCTATCCTATCTTTTAAGTTAGATCAAACTGCACACGGTGTGCAAATTTGATTTAAATCGGTTAAGTAGTTTAGGAGTCCATAGCGGACAAACAACGTGACGCGTAATTTATATATATTAAGATAAACAAAACTGACAGTAAGGTCGTCTTTTCAAATTTAACAAAACTAAAACCTCCTTTGACAAGACACCTAAACATTTTATATTAGAACATTTGTACTAAATGGAATACCTTTGATTTTACAAAACAAATCGCCTTAGACCAGCGGTTGTTACAAGTGTATCTATGGGTAAAAAAGAAAGTAATAATCATTTAATCATGTAGGTAACATAATGAACACTTATGACTCGTCAGTAAAGAAATACATGATATTAATGCTTCTAATTTTACATTTACTGCCAGTTCTCAAATCAAGGGCGTAGAACGGAAGAGAAGAACTGGCAGTGAGTTTACTGCTCCGCCACTCTATTTAATCGCCATTTTTTTACACAACGTTTGTAAGGAGCTGCAACCATTACACCATGTTCCACATGACATATCAAGTAATTAATAATAATAACGTAAATTAAAAAAAAAACAAAGACTTGTCCTCTATCAGCAGGAGGCATGAGGAGGTAAGGTTCAGGAACAAAACTTAGTGCTAAGTGTGACTCACCTACGTCAAAAACGAAATTGGGAAGTCATAGCACTAAGTCGCGACTAAGGTCGTATAAAAATTAATTCGCGGATTCAAATACTTCGATACGAATTTAAAATGATTCCTATAATAAGGAATACATTTTCTCTTAAAGTATCGTTAGAATTATATATTAATTATTAACAATTAAAATATATACAATCAAATAACAAAAGCAACTTATTTTTGCTCTCAAACATCACACACGGCGAAAGATCTCCATGAAGTTACAAAAAATGTCCACCGAGTAATTTTTAATCACATTTTTATTGAAATGGGCTTCTTTTTAAATTCACCGGTACCCGAACCTATGTGTGCATGCGTCACCATCAATCAAGGTATATTTAATTGAATTTACTTATCCAATGTTGGCCGTTACGATATAATTCAATTCGTCACAAGAATATTGCAATACTATAACTATACGAACCATATCAAAGGCATTAAAAATTTAATATTCACAATTAAAATTGATCGAAATTATAACATAAGAGCCAATATAACGACGAACTATTCTTTAGCTAAATTTAATAGGAAAAATACAAATCTTTTGCATTCAAGCTAAATTTTTATCTATTTCTCAAAATATTTTTTATAAATCATTTAAAAATACAATCGCAATTGGGATGTTGCCTCTTGAGAACTATTGTAAACAATATACCTAGTATTGTTAACTTAGTCAGCCTATTACATCGCCGGCTATAGTCATGGCTATTATATCGTCGGGAACTTTAGATTAATTAAGACTGCGTCTAATAAATTAATTAATTAAAAACTAAGGCGTAAAACGAATTTTATATATTTCATAATACATTAGATATGTAATACAATCTGTTGTCGCTTAAATTTGGAGATACTTTATAATATAAAAATCAGGCGGAGACGATAATTAAACAATATGATTTATGATCAGATAAAATAAACATTTTAATTACTTTCGTAAATCATTCTTAAATACTTTACAGTATAACAGTAAGCTAAGATGTCCGCCTACGGGGCAATATTTGGGCATTTTAGAAATTATGTCTTAATAAATGTATTTCAAGTTTGATTAGAAGTTTTAATTAATGTAGATATCTTGGTGGATTTATTTTTTATAGACAAGTATAGGTAAAAAATAGTACGGAGGTGAGATGTTACTATTATTTAAAGTCACTTTCCGACTCTTCCTTTTTAAAAAAATGCTTTAAAATTTCGTGTACTTTGCACATTTTATATTTAATTCATATATAGACAAAGCTAATTTTAATTTATACGATTCATTAGATAATTTTAAACGCCTATTCGTACCACTTTTTATAATCAACAAAACAATGGTTGGCATTTATTGTTAAGTATTTAACAATGATTATGCAAATTTTTTTCAAGTTAAAATCGAAATTCCTCGCCATATACGGTTTTAGGAACATAAAAATCTCTAACGGAACAACAATCAAATCTTAAAATAACGGGGCTTTTTAGAATATTTTATACATACAGTTTTAATTTCTAATACGAATAGTAATCCAATATTGGGGTTTAACTCTTAATTAAATTTAAATTTGAAAGCTTATAAATAAACCATGAAAGATAATCAAAAGAGATGAAGTACTCAGTAATGCACGACGCATTAAGATGTTTACTTAAGATTTAAATAAGTACATATTATATTCAATAGGACGCTTAAAAGATATATTACAATACCTCGTATATAATAATAGTAATAGTCATAGTACAATATTATGATTGATGTATATATTATGTAAAAAGTGTTCGCCTAGTGGCTTCAGCATGGGTCTCTCATCCCAGAGGTCGTAGGTTCGATCTCCGGCTGTGCACTAATGAACTTTCTGTCTACGTGCACATTTAAATTTAAAAATGAAAAATAACGTCGTGAGGAAACCGGCTTGTCTTAGACCCAAAAAGTCGACGGAGTGTTTCAGGCACAGGAGGGTGATTACCTTCTTGCCTATTATTAATTATCATGAAACAGACACAGAAATCCGACGCCCAGACCTAAAAAGTTTGTAGCTCCACTGGTATGGTACTAACCTAACCTAACGCTAAATTTTCTGTGTCCGCACTTCCGTGAAAAACATCGTGAGGAAACCGGCCTGTCTTAGAAAAGCGATACGTGTCTGGCTCAAAGGTCAATAAAGAAAAATGACCAAACAAACAAATCCCCAATGGATTTATTTCCTTATTAATGGTAGATTCAGAGTCGTACCTTAGCGCTAAGTAGGTACGATGCCCATATGTCAAAAAACGTATTGAATTGGGCTCATAAAATTCAAATTATTCTAAGCGATTTAAAAGGTATCGTAACTTCTTTGAAATGTTATCTTATTACACATTTCGTATAGATGATTATTTAAAAGCTGTACATTGTACAAATAAACTTTAATTATGCCCATCCTATAGATGAATTTCTAAATTAAAGGACTGGGACTGGTTCGTAATAATACTATTAAATTTAAATTAGCCGAGCATTGAATTGTAATCTACCGTTATTCTAGTCCCATTGTTTTTGTTATGTATTAAATTACATTTAAAAACTAAAGTCAATAACCTGGCAAGTCGTTACAGTAACTTATGAAAGGAGTTTTGCGATAGGATTTAGTAGACTAAGGGTCGATTCGACCAAACTTCAATTTATACACGAGTAACTATACACGAATAACCTATCCATGATTTTAATCTCGAGTAATCCATAGTGTTTGTCCACGTAATGATAGTATAATAGCCTAGGAATAACAATACGCGATAGCAGGAATGGTGAACGAAAATAAAACTCGGCAAATAAATGTTGTTCTACAACGGACAGTGTAAGAGCATACATATGACTCGATTTCGCCGTATATTGTGTGAAAAAGTAGCTTTTAAAGGTGTCAAACGCCACAATTTTTATTTGTTGTTTGTTTAGGTTTCGTTAAGGAACTTTTGAGCTAGTTGAATTCATATAGTATTATAGAAAATAAAAAATCTACAAATAAATAAATAAATAATAAATTGTTTAAACGTTTCATAAAAGATATATTTAGTACATTGGGTTGACTTGAAATTAAAACACAAAATACATATTTGTGAAATGACAGAAATCAGCTGATTGGATGATGCGCATTAAATTATTCTAGGAAAGTGTCCGTGCGAAACGGGGTAAGTAACAATCCCGAAGGCCCACTATCTTAAATTTGAGATGGTAAAAGAAAATTTACTCTGATAATGACGTTTATTAAGATTAAGATTTACTCTTTTGGTGTCGACTAAGAAAGGAGCACTGGCGTAGTGTATTGAGCGTGCTACTCCAATTCCTGATGTCGTAGGTTTATTTATTTATTTAATTATAAGTAATCTTACAGCTAACATACATATGTATTATAAAACAAAACACTTATACAATACAGAAAGCCAAAACAGATTGAATCCCGGTTGTGCACCAATGGACTATTCTGGCTATGTGCGCAATAAAGACTCGCAACAATTCAAAGAAAACATTATGAGAAATCAAATATACTCTGAATAAAGCTTGGATGTCAAAAAGGCGATATCAATTACAAATAGCGCGGTGACACATTATGTAAACACAATGCAGAAGCGGATCAGTGTTTAAAGTGATATTCAGTAAGAATAACGTCAGGTAATTTCAAATTTTAAAACACAAATATATAAACTTATATGTCTATAGCCTGTAAATGATATATATAATATGATATATATAAAATCATCATATACTCATCATCATTTTAATATATACTATTCTTTAAATATTTTTCTATTCTGTTCCATATTTCCTACCTTAACTTAAGTTTTAAATGAAAGTAGGATGCATATTTGAACTTCGGTGTCCGAAGGCCATATATATACCTAAGGATCCTCATCAGGATAGAGGAGCTATCAATAGGCGCTACATATTTTTAGGTCTGGGCCTCAGATTTCTGTATTTGTTTCGTGATCATTTTTTAATAGACAAGTGGGTGATCAGACTTGTCCCTAACACATCAGACGACTTTTTGGGTCTAAGCATGCCAGTTTCCTCACAATATTTTCCTTCACCGTAATAGCGAGTGTTAAATGCGCACAATGACAGAAAGTACATAGGTAACCTCAGAGATAACAGTCGCATGCCAAACACTTTTTTCTTTTCGTGGGGATATGCGTTACGCATACCCTCCTGCGGCACGGTTGCCTCGTGGTGAAGGGTTATGTGGAACTCGCTGCTGTGCGTACACACAAAAACCCCACAGTGCCACAAGCAATCGCTCGAGGCAGGACATAATAACAGCGTAGCCTTGTCCGAATCCCACCACGCGATCAGCCGTTGAAATCACGGTCCTCTATGGCCACGAATAATGTGGAATGGACCAGCAAGGGCCATTGGGCATGCCAACCCTGGTCTAAAACATCGGAATAAGAGAGGGGTGTGTGAGACCTATAAGTGCAAACTTTTTGGTCCAGACCAATCTCTTCGGGGCAGAAATTTCAATGAACAAGGGATAAGATGTGATACATTAGTAATACAAATTGTTCTCCATATATATATTGTTTTTTACCACATGAAACACTAAAAACAAAACAAAATAAATTGAATAATAAGAATTCGTAATATAATTATTGATTACAGTGGATCGAAGTGGGATTTCCATCATTCAATACATTAAGAACGGTGCATTAGATACAGTATTTATTGTACATGTTTATTGTACATAACAAATGTTATTTGCTAAGGTCGATCGCGGTGACGCAATGTATTGACTTTTTATAATATTATGGTATGAAGTCATCTTTTACCACGGAATTTATATTTTCTTTGTTTTATCAGTAAGTAAACTATAACGTAACGATGCCGACCAATGAATGTTTTATATAGGGATTTTTACTTGAATTACAAATAGAGAACATGCTTAGGAACGTCATAGAAAAATAATTTAAAAAATTAAACCCGGACTTCTAGTTATTACGTACCTACTCAAATGGAGGGCGCAGAACAGACGAGAACAATAAAGTCTTCTATGTGACATGTCTTCTATCTAATATATAAAATTCCCGTGTCACAATGTTCGTTCTTATGATTTTTTTTTATTATATTCAGTAAGTCTGAGAATCGGCTACTATCTATCTTTCAAACCCCTGAGTGATAAGGGGTGTCCACCCCAAAATGTTTTTTATTTGAACTAAAAAAATGTTTCCTAGAATTAATATACATGGCAAAACAAACGTTTGCCCGGTCAGCACTAGTTATTATATAATATAAGACACTTATAATATATGCGCAGTTTGTCAGTCACGCCTGTCTTAACCGCGTCTTTATTATTATAGTAATAAACCTTTGTTAAGGTTTAATAGCTAATTGAGGATTATAATTATTTCTCTGTCTTCTATATGAGGCTAATGTTTTCTTACATTTTATAATTTAATCAAACGTTCTATTTCAGGTTTGCCTGATCCCCGAGGGGTCGGAGTATACGCATACCAAGACTCTCTTGGCAATAGGTACGGCGGCAGCTACGGCCTTGACGACAAAGACATCGTCAGGAATAGCGACCCTTACTTTGGCCAATACCCCACCGTGACCCAAGTGCCATTCTTGGGCAACTTCGCTGATAGCTTTTATCCAAATTATATTTCGAACTACGATAACATTCTCCAAGAGTAAGGACTGTTTTATGAGTTCCGGTGACGGTAGGCATGGGTGGAGGTAGTAAGGGTTTCTAGTACCATTGTAAATATAGTTTTAACTAATCCTTTGTTCCCATTTCCCAGTTTTTATAATAATCATAATAGTAAAAGCCTCAAATACAATACTTGAGTTTATAAAGATTTATTCATAAAAACACTCCGGCCCTAACAGGCGACCCTTAATTGACAAGAGTGCACACTAAGTGAATAAACTTTACAGACAAAAAAGCAAGTTGTTTAACAGATTTAAGGCTTTTATGTAAAAAGGCCGTTATAGTCAGTCTTAGGTTAAAATTAATAGGCGTCTTAGAACAATGACTTCCGAATGTCAAAAACAAAGTTATTGACAACCTGGAGTCATACTAAGCTAAGTATCGACTCTTCTTACTCTAGGATTGGCTATAAGGGCTCCAATGTTTCTATGATGTCTGAATGCTTCTAGGCATATTATTTGTTTAGTTTATTCTAAGTATAAACCGAACACCTCTCTTAGTATATTATTACTTAATAAATTTGTATTATACACATTTTAATCAGTATATAATTTATAGTAATAGAGTTAGAAGATATATCGGTCCAGGGTTGGTTGGTGGTTTTCAACCGTTCCCTCCGTTTCCACGATTTCCACGATTTCCGCGATTTCCACGCTTTGGAAGAAGGTTAAGGTACACGTATGGAGTGTGTGAAATGTTTGGCTTGTTACTAATACCCACGATTTATTCTGCACATTGTGTTTTTTTAATTGTGTTCGGGTGTTTATTTGGGTACTTTTTACAGGGTGTTTGCTTCGAATTTAGAAGCTCAGAGGTTGGCATCGTACGCTGCGCACAAAGCGTATGAACTAACAACGAACCAGATTCGTGAATTTCCCAATTTCTCCAGGTTTCCCTCGTTTGGACCCATCTTTGGTGCTGGTGGTTTAGTACCATACGACATCATGTCTCGACCTAACAGTGCCTACGCCAGTGGGGCAATAGGACCTGGCTTCAGCCACCAGATTGCCGCTATAAACCCGGAGAATGACGTAAATACATTATGAATAAATAAAATTAGTATATTGGTATAAGTTAATAAGTAACTTATAGAATACAAACTACCGAAACTTGTTATCAGACTGTAGCGGTTTAGACAATATTAGGATTATCATTGTATTTGACTTTGAATAACTACAAAAAATAATTGTAGGTTCGTAAGATTACGTCACCTTGGTGTAGTACATGACCTAACCTATAAAGAATGTGATCTTTGTTTGATTTTAAGTATGGTTAAGCATACGATTATAGAATACACAAGTGACTTACACAATTCGGTAGTTAGTTCAGTTTGCTACTTGAAACAAAATTCTAATAATGAGAGCGTTTTAGAAATGTCAGCAGTGTGTTCTTTAAATCTATGGGTATTCATAAATTAAGCTATCGTTTAGTAATTTCCAACACGGATGGTTGCATGGTGATCCAATCATGGATCTAATTATTTTATGAACCAGCCAACTGTTTTACAAAATTCATTGAAATTTCCAGCTGAAAATATTCATTAAAATGAATAAAAATACTTGGACTCTATTATTACCACATGTGTTTTACTTACACGTGAACAATGCTATGTGGCTATTTGACAAGATTTTAAAACGATTTTATATTATTCATTATCGACACTATACAATTATATATTTTTAATTCTATTAAATTTTAAAACAATGGATTTTTGGTAAATTAATGATTATCAACAGATTACATTCTATTTTCATACTATTCAATAGCCCGTATTCATTTTCGTCAGTCAGTACAGTTATTTTTGTAGAACGGTCAAGCACTTTTTGCTACCTGTTTTTTAATAATATTTTCCGTTTCAGGCGATGAGAAACATCGACATAACAAACCGCTTCAATGATGCGCCTGGTAACAATAAATTTTACGGTGTCTCCAGCTCCTCATACTCTTCATCATCAAACGTTAACGGAAAGGCACAGAACCTGAGAGGTGCCGAAACTGTGGTTAACAATAACGGAAAGATTACCAAATACCGCGTCCAAGATCCATAAATTTTCGACATTTCTCAAAATAAAGCGTACTGAGTAAATTTTTGTTTATTTCTTATCTGATAATGAGTCCTTTTTATTTGATGTCAGAGTTAATAATACATACAATCATCAAATACATAACAAATATATTTTAATAGTTACAAAGGAAATAGCAAACGTTCATGGGAAAGATCTAAAGATTAAGAAGTCAGCGCGCTGGTATGTTCTCCCTCTCAAACATTGCATTTATAACGTAAGCGTACATAAAATAAAAAAATAAAATATGTTTATTATGGAACATAAGATAGAGGTATCACTTATTCCACGTCATTAAATTTGAATCTGTAGGCATCCCTACTCATTGGCAAAGAAGACAGAGGGTGTAGGCCGAGAGAAAAAGCCGGCGTAAAACCTCTCGGTACTCTTTTAAAATAGCTAATCATCAAACGACACTTATTTTAAAACAAATATCGCAAATTAATTAGAAGTAGCCTGGTCTAGCACTAGTCCCAGGCCCTTTTATCAACTAGATAATCGTTAACTTTATAGTAAGCCTTTTTACACAGATTTTCTTTAATACATTTCTTTAATTTATTAAAGGGAGAGATAAAAGAGCCTCTGGGATTTTATTAAAGAAGAGTATCCCTTTTCCCAAAAACGAATTAAAGATTATATTCGAGAAACCTCGTGTCGCTCGGTAATTTAACCATCAAATTGAACAACGCAATGTCTGCGATGTTAACAATCATTAATCTAAGCCATCTTATAACAATGAACTTGGCTCAAGGTAATCTTTTTTGTTATCATTACTTTAATTTCGTTAATTTGCCATCAACCTTTACTTTAGGAGTTGTGCTCTCACGTAACCAAGAATTTGGGTTTTGCCCACAGCCTCTATTTGATCCATTAGTAAGTTCTTTGCATTTTCGACAATAGAATTCTCGAGAATCATCATCAATTCTTCTGCGAGGGTCTTGTCTATGATTAGTCCTGGGTCTATTGAATTCGTTCCAATAGTTAATATTTTTGTAGAATGAAGATGGTTGCCATTGGGAAAACGCCGTGTTTGGGTATAAGTCAAACTCATCCCTGATGATGTATGGTCTTTGAGTTGGTTTATATCGTGTATCTGGTGTTCTTATTAATGTAGTATCAACTGATTTGTAAGCTTTTACTATGGGCACTTCTCCGCTGTCTTCCTGTTTTGTCTTTTTGGTTCCCCTCGACAGGAATAGAGCATCAGGTTGAGCTATATGTGCAACAAAAGATAACCTTATCATTTAGAAGAAACATTGCTATTTAAACGTCATATCTGACAGTGAATTTTGTCTTTGTAGGTATGCTACCAACTAAAGTTTTACAAGTCGCAGGTATCTACTCACTCTGACTTTTGATGTTAATTTCAGAGTTTTTACGGACTAGAATATTCATTGTAAATAAATATGCTAGGTTGAGTTTTTAATAGTTAATGTTGGTGACTCTCTAATGTTTATATTTTTCAACTAATTATTACACATCGTAGGATTAGGTCTGACTAGGATAGAAACTGTAAGATTAGGTCAAAACAAATATTTACTAAGATCATTGAATATTAAAAAACTTTCACAAACTTTTGCATATAAACAAAAATTAAAATTGTTTTATTATTATAGCAAACAATACTTTTTTTACCTGTTGAATGTAGTCCTTTATTTTTAAGTTTAGTCGAAACGACAATCGTGTGTTTCACCTCTACATCATCTTCTTTGGAATCACTTTCTTTTTCACTCTCAACAAAATCTATTTTCGTTGACACGCAGTTACATACAACTATGATTGCAGCTGAAAAAATAATAGTATCCTTTTGTAACATGAAGTCTTGACATACCCAGAAAAGTAAGGCAAGAGGCTGTATATTTTTAAGTACAGTGTAAACTTTTTATAACGAATTTCAAGGAATTTCGAGCATTTTTATTCGTTATAGGGAGGTTATATTAGTGTATGGGTTTTGTGTTAAACCAAACCAATTTAACTAATTTTAACGTTATAACGACTGACGTTATATAGAGTTTACACTGTATATCTAATTTATAATGTTTAGGCCATTCTAGTATGAGCCTTCTGTAAACTGAAACGATTTGTTGCCTGGAACCGAATCTAGGACCATCACGGGAATCATGACGCCAGTTAATCTTGGGCTATTAAATAATTTAAGAAGTACGTAAAATAGGTATATGTGTTATTAGACAGTAAGAAAACATTTTACACAATGTACTATACTAATCATACGTATTATATAAAATATTTACTTAAAGTTAAAAAAGAATAGTAATAAGATCCTCGTCATATATAGGGTTGAAAGTGTGACGGCCTTTTTATAGTACTAACAAACTAAGGAGACAACTAACAGATTAAACAGTAGATAGGATGTCTATGCGTACGATCTTAAGTCACTGTTAACAAATCCGGTACTTCATACACGTTTAATAAGGCCGTGTACCAGTATGTTTATGACATAGTATATGCAAAAGGTTGCGACCAAAAGGTGCAAGTATATCAAATAATCAAATATAGTCGTTTCTTTATATTGTCGTTAACGCTACATTTTTAAATGAAATTTCTTTAGATTTTCGCTCTCTAAAATCGCTGAAAAGCACTCGAAAGTCTAGTAAAATGATTTAATGGATTTATTGATATATAAAATTAATTTGTTCATATTATTAAGTTATATCAAACGTTACATACCTGAGGCAGCGAACATGGAAAGAATGTTTGTCATTCTTCTCAAAGACACGAAATGGCATAAAGTCAACTCGCGTGTCTCCACCATTTTATATAAACAATACAAATTATACTAAATGATCGCAGGAAGTTCAGCAATTACCAGATGTACAAGAAAATGTCATTTTTATGAGTATTCTTGGTAACGTGATTATATTTTAATATGTGCCTGCGAGTGTATTATTATAATAATAAAAAATATAGATAAAACTAATGACTGAATCTTTCCCAATACCTGTATCGCCAAATGCCTTTATAATAGAAAATTTACATAATGAAACCTCCAGTACAAATTTACGATATTTTTTTACAAAATATATTCAAATAGTTTAGGTAAATTAAACTATACCCACTAAATAGTCGAGCAAAGTTGTAACGTACTGTTAATAACGTATGTTTACCCAGTATTCCAAAGCCACATTTATATGATGAAAATATAAATTTATATTATGTACTCTTGTCGCTCTTGGTTGAACCAATAAAATTTGTATATTTTCGCTTAGCGCCATCTATATAATGAATCAGTAACTAATTTACTTCATAATTTACTGCCATCTATCGGTCTTTCTAAAAACTAAAACCTGTAAGTGTTTAATCTACTCATGTATTTGCGAATTTTATGATATAGATGGCGCATTGTTTAAATATTCAAGGCTATCACTTGATATCGTTTTTGTAACATAATTAAAACTATTTCCATGTTAATTTTATTAAGAACATTACTGTTATATAAAAATAAATGATTTAATATAAAATAGTCTCAAATACGCTATAAGTTTCATAGTGATACAGTGGATATTAAATGTTAGGCCGCAGTATTAATCAATAGGTAGTTACTGTATAATAAGAACAATATCAAACATAATTTAACATAATTTGTTTACTTATAAAAAATTGCCAAACAAAACAAAAAAAATTTGCCGCCCAACGTGGGGCTCGAACCCACGACCCTGAGATTAAGAGTCTCATGCTCTACCGACTGAGCTAGCCGGGCTGTACTAGAACTGTCAAAATTTTTAATTATATTCAATAATGACCAACAATTGCTTTTAATTTTAAACATTTTCAGTCTAAAATAATTCTGGTTTAATCCCAAAAGTAAAACAAAATTTTGTGGGCGTAAGTTCCATCTTAAATACGAATATTAAATACCAAATTAATGTGGACTTTCAAATAGAATCATCTAGGTATATCGTATGGACTTTTCAGTCTCGCAAACAACGGAAACTTTTAAGACGGGATCAAATGCCTTTGACTTTTAGTACTCGGTTTGTTGACAAGCGCATATTGCGACGGCACTTGTCAAGTCAAAGCTTCAAAGGTCTCATGACTGCTCAAACGACTCAGCAAATACGAAACATTCTACGCGTACTTTAGGTTCAAAGTTCATACGTATGATTATAAGGTATATATGTATGACGAAATCTACGGAAAATATTTCAGTCAGTCTTTGTAAATATTAGGTATTCAGAAGATCTAGGTTGCATAAAACGCAACGTTTCATGTCATTACGATTAGTAACGTGAGCTTAAAATCGTAGTCTATTTAAAAGAGATTAATATTGTATTCGTATAATTAGATTTTTATTAACAACATGAGAAGACAATTTATTTTGAATTTCTAAAAAAAAAAAAAAAAAAAAAACAACAAAACCCGAAGGGGGGGGGGGGGGGGGGGGGGGGGGGGGGGGGGGGAGGCCCCCCCCCCCCCCCCCAACCACAGAAAAGCCAAAAAAAATGTGGGGGGGGGGGGGAACCAACCCAAGGGAGGGGGGGGGAAAAGGAGGCCCCCAAAAAAAAAAAAAATTGGTGGGGTGATTTTTTTTTCGAGGGGGGGGGGGAGGGATTTTTTGGTGAAAAACCCAATTTGCTTTGGAGCGTGTTGTGAAAACAAAAAAAAATCCCTATTAATAGGGGTTTTTTTTTGGGGCCGGTTGGTCGTACGCCATTCATTGCTATTTTCCTGTAAACAATTTTTTTTTTAAAAAATTTTTTTTTTTTTTAAAAAAAAAAAAAAAAAAAAAAAAAAAAAAAAAAAAAAGAGAAAAAATTTTTTTTTTAATTATTTTTTTCCCCCCCCCCCCGCGAGAAAAAAAAAAAAAACCCCCCGCCCCCCCCCCCCCCGCAGAAAAAGGGGGGTGAACCCCCCGGCGGCACCCCACGGGAAAATGCCGTACGACATAACGTTTTGAGCTAGTCTTACCTATTATTATACGCAAACTCCTGTGCTTGTTATTTTCCAATATATTCCGCTTAGTAATAAATTTTTAGTGTTACTTTACAGAACGCCACAATAATTGAGAAGCTGTCGAGATTAAAAATAACCATAGATTTTCGTATGTGAAGGTTGAAGAGGCTCCGTAAGCGTTTTTGTATTTGTAATGTAAAGGATCGATCGATCTAATAGAATACGTGTAAACTGTTGTGAGAGCTGTCAAAAACTAAACATATTTTCGGTTTTTATCGTAGTTCGTAGTCGATGAATAAGAACAATCGAGAATTACCTATATTTTTCCATTGTACAATAAGCAACTGTTACAATAAGCGTATTCAGGTATAGTGGAGAGTACCTACAGGTTCACTTTCAAATTACAAAGATAGCTCGGCTTCTCGTTGCGATTTTTTCCCAAGAATGTATAGTTGCGCACACAATTCATTATGTACCAAAATAAAACTTATTTTTTCGAAATCTTTGATTACGTTTATTTAATACAAGGATTAACTATTGACTTATAATTACGTATTATTATACAACATAGCAAATCTAGAATGCTTTATTTCAAAATTATAAAATTACTCATACTAGATATAAAATAAATTACCTACTGAACTTATTTATATGTATGAAGAAACTCAAGATCGAAGCTTCAGATTCAGTGAAAACTGAATGAGAACTTCGGTTTCCACCAAAAAATATCTTATGTACTAAGTAAATAGATTTTTCATTTCTCAAATATGACTCTTTATTGTTTTTGTCGTCGCCCACTCGTTGAACTTATAATTATTTATAAAACGATTTTAGGTCTATAATGAATGTAAGTTTTATATAGGTTTTACTTAGGAAAACAATAGTCTACCTACAACATATACAATAGTAAAAGAAATAAAACCATCGGGACTGGTAAAACAGATGTTGACGGGTTACGGTGGATTGTCATCGTATTTTCACAGATTTAAAGTTTAAAAACATGCAGCCTGTTCTTGCAACAATGCAGCCGAAGAGACGGTTGTTTAGGTCCTGACTGACTGTCAAATGTATGGCTACGAAAGGTACAACACCAACCAAATTATAGAAATGGGCAAAATAGGAACAAACTTCAAAAGTTTCAAACACCTTCCTAAAATTTGTTGTAAATATAATAAGTTAAGAGAAATAAGTAGTACTTTATCTTTCTAGTTACAAATTCTATTTTGCCTCCGACGACTTTATAGTCGATAGTATTAGGAATAAGCCAATAAAAATTTATAGAAAAAAAACATCGGAAAACAGCCAAATGGATGTGTTATTTGTCTTAAATTCCGTAGCTTTACTATGGCAGTCAAATAGAGACTGGTAATTTATTCCTTTAAAAGATGATGATTTTGCACATACAATAAAGGCTCCATACAAGAGCATTCATAGTTTTCGATTCCTTTATATCAGTTAAAAAGACAAAAGCACGACTGTCTGCGACAGTACGAGTGATAGTAAATGCAAATGGCACACAGTGCAATCAGCGGAGTGCGACTACAAACGGACGAGGAATACCGTCAGAAAATATTTCTTCATACATTAAATTTCAGGAAATATAGTAACGCTATTAATACAAGTTTTATATAAATTTAGTGTTAATTTCCTTAAAAATATATAAAGTATTCAATAATGTTTCTTATTTGCTAGCTTTCTTATATATTAGCTAAGTCATCTCAAGTCTCAACTCTCAACAAAAATTATTTTCTACCATTTTTTATATAAATTTTTAAATTATTATCTGCGACCATATCAAGATTGAATTCTAATCTTGTCATAGTGTCAAGAAAAGTCAACAGTTTTCCATTTCCTGTTCAGCGAACATCGCTATTTCGCTTCACCTGTTTCATACATTTTCTCTGCTCACTGTGTATCGATGTTATTGTTTTTCGTGAGAAAATATCAGTTTCTGACATATTTTTAATTCAACTGTGTAACCTATTGTATAAATATGCAGGTTTCCATATGTAAACTTAGCCACGAACATGGCTGATTTCCAAAAATACACAAGCTTCCAAGATTCAAGGGTCCTGGCGGCGTGATTTAACGCCCCAACAATTACATCGCAGATTTGATTATTATTAATTTTAATATTTTTAACCAGACAATCTTTATAATATAAGCAATTAGTTTCATAAAGTATTTATAATTTTCATAACCTGCATAATCATTATTATCGGTATCCTATTATTAAAAATTAATAAAAAGAAAATTAAATCAAATCTAAAAAGTTTGTAAGCCAGCCTACGAAGAAAGCAACAGCTCTGGGGTCACCGGTACTATCTACCAGGCGCCAACTTAAATGTTTAATTAGTGCCTGTGCACTTGAACCTCACGGCCCAAAGTTGGATTAGCCATCTGTAAATTTAGTAAGCGGATAAAAAAAATCAGTGGCGCTACAACCTCTTTAGGTCTTGCCTGATATCTGAATCTGTTTCATGATCATTTTTAAATCTAATAGGCAAATAGGTGATCAGCCTCCAGTGCACACCGTCGACTTTTTGGGTCTAAGACATGTCGGTTTCCTCACGATGTTTTCCTTCACCGTTCGAGCAAAAGTTAAATGCGCACATAGAATGTAAGTCCATTGGTGCACAGCCGGGGATCGAACCTACGACCTCAGGTATAAGAGTCGCATGCTGAAGCCACTAGGCCAACACTGCTCAAGCGATACGGATAATCCGGTGAATAATTGTCAGAATATTAACTGCCGTATCATGAAAGACCTAAGTCTAATCTAAGTTTTATATTAAATAAAAATCATTCTGTAACAGCCGAAACATAGCTGTAGAAATATGATACAAAAAAAATCGACAATGA